CATGGCTGGCTCACTGCAGCCTTTGCCACATGGGCTCAAGTGATCCTCCCACCTCAGCCTCCTGCGCTTCTGGGACTACAAGCATAAGCCACCATGCCCAGCTAATTTTGTTTTTTTATTTTATGTAGAGATGGGGGTTACACTGTGTTGCCCAGGCTAGTCTCGAACTCCTAGGCGCAAGTGGTCCTCCCACCTCAACTTCCCAAAGTGCTGGAATTACGGGTATGAGCCATGGCGCTTGGCCCGTTCTTGCTTCCTCTGATAATCCACTCCCTCTATTGTTTCTCTTTTGTCTTTCCGGAACCCCCATTATTCTGATGCTAAACTTTTGGACTAATTGTTTAGTTTTCCTGTGTTTTCAGTTCCTATTTTTCATTTTTTGTCCTTTTGTTCTACTTTATTTATTTATTTCTTTTTTTGAGATGGGGTCTCACTCTATTGCCCAGGCTGGACTGCAGTGGTGTGATCTTGGCTCACCGCAACCTCCGCCTCCCAGGTTCAAGCAATTCTCCTGCCTCAGCCTTCCAAGTAGCTAAGATTACAGGCATGTGCCACTTCGCCCAGCTAACTGTGTATTTTTAGTAGAGGCGGGGTTTTCCATGTTTGTCAGGCTGGTCTTGAACTCCTGACCTCAGGTGATCCTCCCACTTTGGCCTCCCAAAGTGCTGGGATTACAGGCGTGAGCCACTGTGCCTGGCCTTGTTCTACTTTATAAGAAATGTTTGTTTTTACTTTATCTTCCAGTTTTGCAGTGGATTTTTCAGTGTGGAGCCTAAGAGCTCTATTTTGTTTTCTAAATATTTTTTTGGCCAGGTGCAGTGGCTCACATCTGTAATTCCAGCACTTTGGAGGCAGAGGTGGAAGAAACACTTGAGGCCAGGAATTCAAGACCAGCCTGGGCAACGGGGTGAGACCCATCTCTAAAAAAAAAAAAATTGTTTTTCAGTTAGCTCGGTGTGGTGGTGCATACCTGTGGTCCTAGCTACTTGGGAGGCTGAGGCAGGAGGATTGCTTAAGCCAGGCATTTGAGGCTGCAGTGAGCCATGATCTCGCCACTGCACTCCAGCCTGGGTGACAGAGCAAGACCTTGTCTCAAAACAAACAAATAAATATTTTTTTCATAGCAATCTTGTCAATTATGAATGTAATACATTTTCTCACTTTTAAGGCTACTTATTCTTTAGGGGAAGTTTTCTTATGCTTCCTGCAATGGCCTCTCTTTCTTCTGAGTCAGCTTTTTCCTGTTTGTTTCTGTCTCCCTCTTTCATAGTGAAAGCTTTTTCTCAGTTTCCTGTCATCCTTTAATTGTCCGTATCTGAGGAAGGCATTTAGCAGGATATTCACACGTGCCCAGGTGTTACCCAAGGTCGCTGGTGAAGGGAAATGTGTGCCTTTACAGTGGAAAGATCCAGCAGTCACTGCCTCCACCAAGTGATCAAGCCTCGCTTCACCGCTAGTGACCCGTGCAGACGCTGTCTCCAGATCCAATGCAACATGAAGGACAGAACTTCAGCTCTGTGTCTTGCCAAAGTGTTTGATCAAAATTTAGCCTTCAGTGCTCACTTCCAGTTTATGGGATTTACAAGAGATAGAGGGACAAGTTCAATTACAGTACACAGGAACAATCAGAAAAATCAGATGTGAGATGCTCCTTCCACTAAATGGCCTGGCCTACTCAAAAAGTCAACATTGTGGGGAAAACAAGAGACGGGGAATATTCTAGTAAGGAGAAGAAAGAGACATAGAGCCAATTGCAATGTGTGCACATGGAAAAGACATTCTAGGGACAATGTGGGAGGCTAGAATATGGATTCAATATGAGACAACATTAGAAAATTGTGTTAAATTGTGCATCATGGATTTATAGTTATGTGTGATGATAATGTCCTTATTCTGTGAAGATAGATACTGAAATATGTACAGGTGAAATATTATAGCTGCAGCTCATTTTCAGATGGTTCAGAGAAACAATATACACAGCTGCCCATGGCGGCTCATGCCTATAATCCCAGCACTTTGGGAGGCCAAAGTGGGTGGATCACCTGAGGTTGGGAGTTCGAGACTAGCCTGGCCAGCATGGTGAAACCCTGTCTCTACTAAAAACACAAAAATTAGCTGGGCGTGGTAGCACATGCCTGTAATCCCAGCTACTTGGGAGGCTAAGGCAGGAGAATCACTTGAACCTGGGAGGGGGAGGTTGCAGTGACTCGAGATTGTGCCACTGCACTCCAGCCTGGGCAACAGAGTGAGAGTATGTCTCAAAAAAAAGAATAAAGAAAACAAAGAAAATAATATATTGTATATACAACACACATATCTAAAGATAAATAGGGTAAGGTGCTAACAACTGCAGAACAGAGGCAGTGAGTACACCGTACTCTTTGTGTAGTTTTTCTGTATGTTTACATTTTTCCATAATAAAAATGTAGGAAAAAAGGGGAAGGTAACAGAAAGCTGATAGAAGGTTGTGTGAGCCCCTGTGTGTGGCCAGGCCTCCTAAGCCAGTGAGGCAGCAATTCCGCGGGGACCTCAGTCACTGGTGCAGGCAGTCTTCTCCCCAGCCAATCAGCACTCCTGGAGAGGAGCTTCCTGCCCCTGCCTGGGGTGTGTGGGCCTCACTGCCAACACATGGGAGCCGAATGCAGACTTTCACTGAATTCTCTTGTTTTCTTTCTTTTTTTTTAGACAGTATCTGGCTCTGTCGCCCAGGCTGGTGCGCACTGGCATCATCTCGGCTCACTGCAGCCTCAACCTCCCACCTCAGCCCCAGCACTGAGTAGCTGGGACCACAGGTGCCTGCCACGATGCCCGGCTAATTTTGTTTATTTTTTGTAGAGATGGGGGTCTCACTATTCTGCCATGCTGGTCACAAACTCTTGGACTCAAGTGATCCTCCCGCCTCGGCCTTCCAAAGTGCTGAGATTATAGGCGCCTGGCCTAAATTCTCTTGTTTTCATAGCTGTCTCACCCCATCCTCAACTGTGGGAAGCCTCCTAAAGAAACCCACAGCCTTCTGCCGGGAGCAGAGGGCAGCTGCCTGCCTGAGTAAAATGGGGTTTGGTTCCTGCGGTCTTGCTCATGACTGTGAGACGGTGTCAAGTGTGGTCTCTGGGGCCGAATCTGAGAGGTTCAGATTCTGCAGTGTAACCTGAGGCAAATTAAATCTTTCTATGCCTAGTGTCCAAAATTAGGGTATAAATCCTGCTAGCACTTTTGGGGGATCATGCAAGTTAATATACCGTCCGCCCTTAGACCAGCGCCTGGCACAGAGTAAATCCTTCAGGCCACATACACACACACGCCCACACACCAGCCCCCAGCAGATATAAGTTTCTGATTTCTCTGGTCTGTGAGTCACTTCCCATTTTCTATAATTGTATTGCTATCTCAAGTCTACTACTCTTCTGCTTTCTTTGCCTGTGTGGGTTTTGGCTTTTTAAAAATTTTTTTTTAATCCCTTTACTGTCTCTCTGGTGAGACATACATATACATACAATTATACATACTGTTAAACATACATATATATTCACAACATTAAGCCACAAGTCTCAATGGCTGTTTTTCTTCCTTCCTTCCTTCCTTCTTTTTCTTCTTTCTCTCTCCTTCCTTTCTTTCGTTTTTTATTTTTATTTTTGATGGAGTCTCACTGTGTCGCCCAGGCTGGAGTAGAGTGGCGCGATCTTGGCTCACTGCAACCTCCACCTCCTGGGTTCAGGCAATTCTCCTGCCTCAGCCTCCCAAGTAGCTGGGATTACAGGCGTCAGCCACCACACCCAGCTATTTTTTTTTTTTTTGTATTTTTTAGTAGAGATGGGGTTTCGCCATATTGACTAGGCTGGTCTCGAAGTCCTGACCTCAGGTGTTCCACCCGCCTCAGCCTCCCAAAGTGCTGGAATTACAGGTGTTAGGCACCTCATCCCTCCCCTTTGCTCTCTTCTCTCTCTCTCTCTCTCATTCTTTCTTCTTTTTTTTTCTTTTGGTTTGAGAAGGAGTCTTGCTCTGTCACCTAGGCTAGAGTGCAGTGGCACAATCTCGGCTCACTGTAACCTCCACCTCCAGGGTTCAAGCGATTCTCTCGCCTCTCCCAAGTAACTGGTATTACAGGTGCCTGCCACTGTGCCCCACTAAATTATTTTTATTTTTAGTAGAGATGGAGTTTCACCATCTTGGTCAGGCTGGTCTCGAACTCCTGACCTCATAATTCACCCGTCTGGGCCTCCCAAAGTGCTGGGATTACAGACGTGAGCTACCATACCTGGCCTCTTTCTTTCTTCTGGCTCTCTCTTTCCTTCCTTCTTCTCTCCCTCCCTCTCTTTCTATTTCTCTCCCTCCCTCCTTCCTTCCTTCCCTCTTTCCTTTTCATTTCTTTTTTCTCCTTCCTAAAATCTCCTTTAGGCAGTGTATTACTGAACTTACAGGGCACTGTAGACAAAGCCTGGGGAGTGAATGTCCATATGGCTGGGGAGTCCAGTCTGGAACTGCCCTTGAACTTACAGCCTAGCTTTCACTAAGGGAGAGCTATTAGTAATTAAGTCCCACTGACGCCTGTTAAAATGTAAATGAAGCATAGAGTTCTTAGGGCCTAGGCTTTTCTTGAAGTTCCCTTCCACCATCCCTGGACCCCTCTAGAACCAGGAGGGGTTGTTTTGGGAGAAAGAGGGTCCCTTGGCTGATGGAAAGTGTGGGGGTGGGGGCTGGTGGAAGTGCAGGGCCCAAGACTGTTCTTAAGCATTCTGGAGCCTGCTGGACATTTGGCTCCTAGCCTCCTCTCTACTACAGTGACCATTTCCATCCCAGGACTTCTCCTCTCCCTCTCCTTAGACCAAAGCTCTTGTAGCCTGAGAATGGGAAAGCCCAGCATGAGCCTCTCCATGCCCTTCCAATGTACCCTCCTCTAGCAAAGACTGAAGACAAGGATTTCAGAAGACTGGAAATCGAATCCCACACTCAGCTCCTCTCTGAATACAACGACTGCTTCATTCCTTGGACTTCAGTTTTGGTTTTGTTTTTTTTTCTTTCTTTTTTTTTTTTTTTGAGACGGAGTTTCGCTCTTGTTGCCCAGACTGGAGTGCAATGGCATGATCTCGGCTCACGGCAACCTTTGCCTCCTGGGTTCAGGCAATTCTCCTGCCTCAGCCTCTGGAGTACCTGGAATTATAGGCATGCACCACCATGCCCAGCTAATTTTTTGTATTTTTAGTACAGATGGGGTTTCACCATGTTGGTCAGGCTGGTCTCGAACTCCTGACCTCATGATCCACCTGCCTTGGCCTCCCAAAGTGCTGAGATTATAGGCGTGAGCCACTATGCCCGGCCTGGACTTCAGTTTTTCAAAGAAAACATCCCTAGAAGAAGAACAGCAGGGATAGTAATTTACCTTTTAGTGAGAATGAATTCTCCAGCCCTTTCTGGGAGAGCATTTAGTAAGGCAGCAAAGCTGGAAGCTGAGAAGAGCCTGAAAGAATGATGGGCTGACGCTGCCAAAAAGAGAAAGGGCGGAATCTTCACAGCTTTGCCTGAGGCCATTATGAAGTTGGATCAAATAGGTGTCATCATCCACACAGGCAGGACCTCCTGGGTACGGGCTGTCACCTTTTCCAGACACTTGGAAGGGTGGCCTCCAGCTGTGGAGCCACAGAACTAAATACTATAACTGGCCCACAAGCACCCTCCTTTAGGCTAGGGAAGGAATAATAATCTGTCTTCTCCTTCCTCTGACCCTTGGAGTTCTGCCAAGTCTCTCCATTAGAGATGTAAATTAATTAGAGATGTAAATGTAAATTACCTCCTAGTGTGTAAAGCAGGAGAATGGATCTGGGGTGGGGTGGGGAATGGCAAATGGGAAAGAAGCAGCAGAAACTCTTTATGGCCGTTCAGAGAACGCTAATGTCCAAGGCACAGCCAGCCAGAGGTAGCTTCAGCCTTTCATTGGAAAAGCCACGTTTTCCTCAGTTGTATCCTGCACTTCGAGTGAGGCTTCTTCAAATGCAGAACAGCATCATGACCCAAGCAGAGAAAGTACCTGTGATGGCAGAATTCCATGGGCCTAAGCCTAGCGTGGAGGGAATCCATTCTTTTAAACCAGGGATTTAAATTCTTCAAACTCTTCAAGCAAGTCATTTGCAAATGTACCCCTTCTACCGTTTTAAAGTTAGGATCATGTTCCTCGTAGGATAACTGGATGAGCCCTGGGAACCAAGAATCCTGTGCAGTGGGGGCAGAAGCCTGACGGTTGTTTTGTTCCCCCACAGCTGTAGGTTACAAGGTTCTTACACAAGCTTTGGGGTAGCCCCACCCCAGGCCCTTCCTTCCCCTCAGTCAGTGATGACTCAAGAGGTTTTGGAAAGGAGCTCAGGGGACACTCAAGCAGCAGGCTCAGCTTAGGGCACTTCTCAAGGAGAATTTAAAAATACTTATCATCTATAGCTACGTAGCCAAGTTTCCTTGGGGGTGGATGTCTCAGAGGAGTGGAAATTAAGACAATGAAGTAAAAATAAAAGGCTTTTTTCCTTTCTAAAATTGTTTTGTAGCCAGGCATGGTGGCTCACCCCTGTAATCCCAGCACTTTGGGAGGCCAAGGCAGGAGGTTCACTTGAGTCCAGGAGTTCAAAACCAACCTGGAAGATTTCGTCTCTAATAAAAATTTTTAAAAATAGCCAGGTATGGGGAGCATGCCTACAGTCCTAGCCAGTCAGGAGGCTGAGGTGGGAGGATCACCGGTGCCCAGAAAGTTGAGGCGTTAGTGAGCCATGATTGTGCCACTGTACTCCACCCTGGGTGACAGAGTGAGAACCCATCTCTAAAATTAAATAAATTTTAAAAATTGTTTTGTTTTTCCTGAGCTGCTACTATTGTAAGCCACGTGGGAAGGAAACTCTGGGTCACCCTTCACACACTGTGAAATACTTAGTGACTTCAGGAGCAGTCACAGGTGTTCATACTCTTACCCATGGGGAAGGCCACAAGTCGTGCTGAGCTAGGTTCATCATTCCTAACTAAGCGCCCTCCAAAAACCTCCTTCAGTTTTCCCTCGCTCATTAGGATGCCTTCAGGCTGAGCACCCTTCCTTCACCTGTGCCATCTGACAGATCCTGGGTGCAGCTGAAAGCTCACAGAGTCAGGACAATGGGCCTGTGGAGAAAATATTATTCAAAATAAACCTCAGGCTGGGCGCGGTGGCTCACATCTGCAATCCCAGCACTTTGGGAGGCTGAGGCAAGTGGATCATGAGGTCAGGAGTTCAAGACCAGCCTGACCAATGTGGTGAAACCCTGTCTCTACTAAAAATACAAAAATTAGCTGGGTGTGGTGGCTCACGCCTGTAATCCCAGCTATTCAGAAGGCTGAGGCAGGAGAATAGCTTGAACTCAGGAGGTAGAGGTTGTGGAGGTTGCAGTGAGCCGAGATCATGCCATTGCACTCCAGCATGGGCAGCAGAGTGAGACTCCATCTCAAAAATAAATAAATTAATTAACAAACAAACAAAAAAAACCTCTGCCAATCCAGGAAATCTCTCCACAAAGGGAGGAGAGAAAGAAAATTGTTTTGTTAGTGAATAAGCATTAAACCAAAATGTAATGCACATCCCACACAATCCCCTAAAGGACTACAAAGACAGAAAGAGACCTTGCCCTTTTATAGAGTCGTGCAGAGGTGACTTGTTCCAGACAGGTTCTCAAGGTAGACAATAGCTACTCAGTCCTCAAGTAAGAGGACTCGGCAGGCCCATTTGTTGCACAGAGCTCACCACAGATTCACCTAGTAATTGAGGTCACCATCTGTGTTAGCTAATTGGTTTATCCAAAGGAAAAACAAACTTCTCATAGCTTTAGGACAGGAGGAAGTTTTGCAACTTAGAGCGAGGCACCTGCCAGATCAGGCTCCTCCTACCCTCCCGCTGAAACTCTGATGATTATGTTTCAAAGGGTTGGCTCCTTGGTCCTTGAAAAAGGTATTTCTGAGTCCTAAAGCTGCCAAGAGGCTTACTGAACTTTCAAATTTATTATTTATTATTATTTTAAAGACACAAGACCTCTGTTGCTGCCCAGACTGGAGTGCAGTGATGGAATAATGGCTCACTGTAACCTTGAACTCCTGGCCTCAAGCAGTCCTCCCACCACAGCCTCCAAAAGTGCTGGGGATAACAAGTGTGAGTCACCTCACCTGGCCCCTATTTAGTTTTTTAAAAGATTTACATACATCTCAAAGAAACAGAGGAACAAACTTAAAATTTGAAGTTTCCTGAAGTAAAAAGGGAGGGAGGTGAAGTCTCTTCCCTTATTTTCCACAAGGAGAATTAAAACTCTTAAAACTCTTATTTTTTTTTTATTGGTACACAATAGATGTACATATTTTTGAGGTACATGGAATAATTTGGTAACATTAATTGAATCAGGGCAACTGGAATATCCATCACCTTAAACACTGATCTTTTCTTTATGCTAGGAATATTCAAATTAATCTCCTCTAGTTTTTTGAAATGCATATTGGATTAATGTTAATTATAGTCACGCTACTGATCTATCAAACAGGCTTCTTCTTTCAATTTGTGTTGGCAGACCTGCCTGTTATCCCCACACTTTGGGGATCAGGGGAAGCCAAGAGTCTGACACCAGCCTGGACAATGTGCCAAAATCCTGTCTCTACAAAAAAATTAAAAATCAGCCAAGTGTGGTGGCTACTCCATGTAGTCCCAGCTACTCAGGAGGCTGAGGTGGGAGGATCGTTTGAGCCCAGGAGGTCAATGCTGCAGGGAGCCGAGACCATGCCACTGCACTCCAGCTGGAGTGACAAGAGAGACCCTGTCTCAAAAAAAAAAATTAAAAACTAAAAAAAAATTTTTTCTAATTGTATTTGCTCTTACAGGCCCAAGAGGCAGTAGCACAGGTCAGCATCTCCACCACCCCATCCAGTCTTGCCCGTGTTGACCCAGATGCTGGGACAAGAGGCACACCCTGAACTTATTGCTCCTGTTTGATTCTTGTCTGGTTCCAGGTCTCCACTTTCCACCCCTTTTCCTCCGTATACTAAAAGCAAGGTTGTTTTGGGTGTGACATGCTCTAGAAAGAGTGTATCTGGCTTCTTGTTTTTACCACAAGGGATGCCTGAGACATAGGTTTGTGCTACCATTTTGGCTCTCAAGCCAGAGAGCCTGTTGGTGTTCTCATTTTGGAATTTTATTTTGGACTGTTCAGAGGACCCAGGGACTCTGTGCTGTGATACCCAATCCCCTGGCTTTAATCAGTTATTCATTATTCACCCAGGCACTTAATGAGCAACTCTCAGTATCTAATTTTGTTTCAGGCTTTGCAGCGGGTCAGAAGGATGGAAGACTTGGCCCCTCCTCTCTAGGAGTGTACCCCATGCCTGGGGTACATATCATTGTGGAACAACCCCAGTTAGGGCACAAGGACGCTGGGGCCCGGACAGTCAGTCACGCCATGGGAGCTCAGGGGGAGGCTGGATGTAGGCTGGGGTGTGTGGGGAGAGCTTCCTGGTCAGGTGGGATCCAAGGATCCTTAAATCATGGACAGGAAAGCAGCTGCAGCCTAAGGAAGAGCAGGAGTGTTAGGAGGCTTCCCTAAAGTTCCCTAAAGTTCTGTGACCCTGTACAACTGCTGCCACTGCTAAGGTCACTACTGCAGCTACAAGCACTGCACCTGACATGGGAGCTTGATGGACCAGAGCACATGCAAAGAAAGAGGGCCTCGGAAATCCCCGAAAGATATGCAGGGCCTTGTACCTGTGGGATTCCCATGCTCACCCCAGGCAAACAGTAAGCCAGTAAGCAGATGGCTGGCAGAGCTGCCCCCAGACCCTGAGGCTCTCAAACCCACCCTTCGTGCAGAGAGAATTGTGTGGTTATCATCCTCGAACTCACTTGCTGAGTGATTCGATGCGGGTGATTTGATGTTCAGTCCTTCTTAGCAGGAGGCAGACCAGCAGAGAGTTACAGTTAACACTAACTGGGCATAGTTATTGAGCAGGAGAGTAGGATCTGGAGGCGGGGAAGGTAAGGCTGATTCGCACTGACTTCCTAGAACTGAGTCAAAAGGAAAAGCCCACCTCTCCACAACCAAATAACAAAAGGATCAGAGGCTACTCCCTTTGCAACTCCCAACTTCCTCTGCATTGCAGATGAAAACTGAAAGCACCTCTGATTGGCCCCCTCCTGCAACCAATCAGGCTGGCTGCAGGCCAAGTCTTTATTAGCAGAGGAGTATAACTTTGTAACTTCACTTCAGCCTCTGATTGGTCACTTCCTGCAATCAATCAGATATTTGCATACGGGTAACTTTGTATCTTCACTTCACCCTCTGATTAGTAACTCTTGCAATTAATACGTCTGATCACGGGCCACTACTTCATTTACATAGGGCATAAACCAAATAACCAATGGGAAACCTCTAGAGGGTATTTAAACCCCAGAAAATTCTGTAACCCTTGTTCTTGAGCTGCTTGCTTGACCCACTCCCGCTCTGTGGAGTGTACTTTTGTTTCAATAAATCTGTGCTTTTCTTTTGTTGCTTTGTTTGCACATTTGTCCAATTCTGTGTTCAGAAGGGGAAGAACCTAGACACCCTCAACCGGAAACAGGACCTTTTGCTTTCATTGTCCTTTTTCCAAAATTGTATCTGAGGGGAGACTTCCTGGCTCTGTTAAGATCAAGCACGTCTGCCTTCAAGGATGATGGGCTTAAGGCAAATACTCAGAGCCACCTGAGGGTCCTCTTGTCCACTGTGTCTGTTCTGGCAAGGAGCACACACTCGGAGCTGGGGAAGAGCATGGTCCATCTTGGCGTCAGAGAGGAGGCTACTGGCCTGGCTGAACCAGAGGGATTGCCAAGACAACAGGAAAAATCAAGCCTATGGCATGAAATGACAGCTTTTTGTGGTGAACTGTTTGTGCAGACCAAGGTGTCAATAGTGTCTACCTGGATCAAAAGACACCTCTGGTCCTCTAACGTGTCTCCTTGCCTTCCGGATGCTACCTCCACCCAAACGCTGCTGCCCACGATATCTTTCTAAGAACATATCTAATCATGTCACCGTCCTGACAGCACCTTGGGAAGGCTCAGGGCCACTTATCAAAACAAGTTCAGGACATCTAGCATTATGGCAAATGGGCTTCCTGTGAAAAAAAAATCATAGAAATGTTGGGTAAACTGTAACAAAAAAAAAATTTTTTTTAATGCATGCCGTCTTTGGACAAAATAAAAGGAAATCCTCAAGTGGCAGAAATGGAAGAGAGGAACCACAGCCAAAGCAGTAAGTGTAAGCTGGAAGCCTGGAGTCCATAGAAATTGTAGAGGAGCCAAATTTAGGCTCTCGAGAATGAGCTGAAATTAAAACACCAGGGGGAGAACAGGACATGTGGCCTTAGGCTTGCTTGGAGATAGAAAATCTTAATCTGAGCTCAGCAGAAAAGAAAAGCATCAGAGAGACGACCCTTCCTTAAAAGAGGGTTTAAAAAATGCTGCCCACCAGCTCAGGGAAGTCTGAGGAGGCAAGTTGTCATTCTTAGAACATGGATGCAAGGGAAAAAATGGCACCTTTCAGATATGGAATCCCTAGGGCCTGCTCATTGAATGGTTGCACAGTTCAGATGTATACTACCTCTGAGGTCCAGGAGTCCCAGGCAGAGAAACTGACATAATGTTTGATCTAAAATAATTGAAATCCCCAGGATCGTAGTAGATTCCACTCTGTAGAAATGTTGTTACAATCCAGGGCACATGGGAGTCACACAGGAAAAACAACTCCTACCGAAAATGAGCTCACAATCAAAAGTGACATATCATGTGAGGAAATGAGCCTCCATGAGTGGGAGCCAACAAATACATCCAAGCAGGGTAGTTGGGACTGCAGATAATGGAACAATCTGAAAGCGGCTATAACCAGATCTGTACCCACCTTTCAAAAGCTGAACCCAGCTGTTCCAGCCCCTATCTCATCCTGGTTCTTCAGTGCTCACCTTCTCAAGTTCATGGCACTCCAGTCATTCCGTCATGCAGACTCAAAATCTTGAGCCCTCTCCAAATTCTTCCTCTCTCAACTGTTTTTCTTCATAATAGCTCTCATTTTTCTCATCTCTCTTCCTCTCCCTCCTCTGCTGTGTGCTGGTCATCTAGCTGGTTTCCCTGACTTCCCAGGTCCAGGATCCCATTTTCTCTTTATTTCACTCCTATACTGCCACAGAGGTATCCTCCTAAATGGCAAGTCTCATGATTTTTCTTCCTTGACCCAAACCCCTGATTTTTGAAATTCAAACAACCTTGCCCAACTTGGACCTAAACTTCTGTTCCAGTTTTGTTTTCTATCATGTCAGCCTCACCCACCCCTCATTCCAAGACCCTATTGGAGGTACACTCTCTTACTTATCCTTCTTATAGCCCCCGACCCATGCTTCCAAACAGTCTCTTCCCTCATATTAGAAGGCTCTCCCCATCATGCCTGCTGACCGAAAGCCTACCTACCTAGCTTAAACCTTCTAAAAGCATGATGTTGTAGAAAAATGCAGCATTAGTGCTAAGCAGATCTGATTTCAAATTCCAGATGTGTTACTTTATAACTCTCTGCCTCAAGAGACAAGAGGTCACAACCTCTCTAAGCCTCAGTTTGTAATGTTATGAAATGGGAATATATGTATTTTTTAGAGTTGTGAGAATTAGTCTATGTAAAATACCAAGACCACAGAGCTTGGTCCAAGTAAGTGCTCAGTAAACAGTTGCTGAACTGAGTCTGTCTCCTCACATTTTTATGGGAGTTATGTCTTTACTGCCTCACCTTCCATGGGGTCTGAGGCCTTATCTCATTCGACTTTGCATTCCTAGTTTCTCACACAGAATCTTGGAGTATGTCGATTGACAAGTACTGGAAATAGCCAGGCATGCTTAACCTGGTGTTAGAAGAGGGGCCTGGCAGATCTCAGATTTTAGAAGGGTACTGATGGCCAATTTACATGGATGTACTCCAGAGAGAGAGCCAATCCAGGATAAGAAGGGATATCTAACATTTACAGCCCTTTAACATGAGAACAGGTGCTAAATATAAGCTGCTTGCCATTAAAAACCTCCAATTACAGAAAGTAATCTGGGGTTGGATGAGGGATACAACAATCACATCAGTGATTCTTAACTTTTGGGAGTCACAGATGTCTGAAAATCTGGTAAAAAGTTCTGAATCTTCTTCCCTGGAAAAATGGCCCAAAGCATAACATTTTGCAAGTAATTTTGAATGCAAGTAATTTTGATCACCTGATGGCCCTTCTAGGATGCTGTGGTCAACTTCCCACTTCCCTCTCAATCATGAGACAGAAGGCGTCAATCGCTGTCATCTGTATCTTCAGAATTCACACCGCCCATCTAAAGCACGTGATTCATATTCGAAAGCTCAGTGCTTTTGCCACAAACTAAATACTCTACGGGTTTTTTGGTCAAATGAATGAATAAGCAAAATATATGATTGATCTGATCTTTAAGGAAAGATATATGCTACAAGAAGGAGAAAAGAGAAGGAAAAAATAAGAAAATGAGTCTATGAAAAGGATCAACGCAGTGCCGTAAAATGGGGAGAGGCTAATCAGCATCAGAAAAAAAAGGATAAATTTTGGATGGCATGAACTTCCAGCCTCTTGCCCAGGGCTGAGCGTCCCAGGGAATGTCTAACCTGCAGACCTCTGCTGTTGTGTGGGCTCTGACCAGTTTGCCTTCAGAGTGACAATGGCACATCCCCAGGGGCTCCTGGGGAAAATCACTCAGAAGGATCCACGATCCACTGTGACATGTCCAGATGATATTTGAATTTGACTTTTTCTTTTCTTTTCTTTTCTTTTTTTTTTTTGAGACAGAGTCTCACTCTGTCACCAGGCTGGAGTGCAGTAGCGTGATCTCAGCTCACTGCAACCTCCACTTCCTGGGTTCAAGCAATTCTCCTACCTCAGGGTCCTGAGTAGCTGGGACTGCAGGCCTGTACCACCACCTGTCTAATTTTTGCATTTTCAGTAGAGATGGGGTTTCACCATGTTGGCCAGGCAGGTCTCAAACTCCTGGCCTCAAGTGATCTGTCCTCCTTGGCCTCCCAAAGTGCTGGGATTACAGGCAAGAGCCACCGCATCTGGCCGCAAATTTGATTTTAAAACCTCTTTCCCTATTTGTGAATTTAGGTCTTTATTGTTATGCAACCAGTGGCCATTCTATTATGACATGTTGTTTCATTCACACTTGGTGATGAGCTATTAAATGAAGTGTGTTGAGATTTTTTTCTTAGAATATTATTATGATTATTATTATTGAGACAGGGTCTCACTCTGTCGCCCAGACTGGAGTGTAGGGGTGCAATCTGGTTCACCGCACCCTCCACCTCCTAGGCTGAAGCGATTCTCTTCCCTCAGCCTCCAAGTGCCTGGGACTAGAGGCACATGCCACCATGCCTGGCCAATGTTTTAATTATTGGTAGAAATGGGGTCTTGTAATGTTGCTCTCCAATTTCTGTGCTCAAGGGATTCTCCCACGGTGGCCTCCCAAAGTGCTGGGATTACAGGCGAAGCCAGGATTTCTTGTTTGCTAGACTGAGCGTTTCTCAAGGGATCGGCTGGTGCTTCCAGTTTGTATGAGCAAAGATATGCAGCTCTGTCCGGGTCAAGATCTCTTGCTGTGTCGGCACTCAGCCCCACTGGCTCTTCCTTGGAGACACAGGCAGCTGCGAGATTTCAGGAGGCTGCGCAGGCTCTGCAGGGCCTCAGGCAGTCCCACCCCAGTGAGGGCACTGCAGCCCCGTAGCTCCCAGCAGTGGTCCTGGAATCTCTCTAGACTCAGCCTGTTTCTGATCTCAAGCAATGGAAGTGCATCATGTGCCTCTTGCTTGTTGGCCAGCACCAAGAAGGGAACACCAGCCATGTTGGGGTCATTCACAACTTCCTCGAGCTCAGCCGCCGACTCGGGTAAGCGGGCTTCATCTGTGCTGTCCAGCACATATACAAGGATATCTACACCTTCCAGATAGTCCTTCCAGCTGGTCCTGAGCGAGGCCTGCCCCCCAATGTCCCAGAGAGTCAGTGACATGTGCCCAGGAGCTTCCAGAGGCTCCACGTTGAATCCAACAGTGGGCAGGGTCTCCACTAGCTGGTGGCCCTTCAGCTTGTAAAGGAGCGTGGTCTTGCCTGCCAAGTCCAGGCCCATCATCACCACCTGGGCTTCTGCCTTGCGACCTCTGGAATTCACAGAACCCATGGTGGCCACTGCTGAATTCTAGGGGAGAAGGGCCAGGGACACACATTAGCTACTGTCTCCTGAAGGAAGACAAGTCCATCCTGGTATGGTGGCTCATGCCTGTAATCCTAGCATTCTGGGAGGCCAAGGTAGGAGGATCACTTGAGCCCAGGAGTTTGAGATCAGCCGAAGCAACAAAGCAAGAACCCGCCTCCTCTACAAAAATTGAAATTTAAAAAAGGAGCACAAATCTGTGCAGGCAAACGGAAGAGCTTTTCCCAAATAGGAAAAGTCTTCACAGAGTCAGATTTTAAACAGATGCCTGGGCTTTGAAGGAAGTGACGTTGTGTGAGCCATCAGCTGACCCATCTCTGGGTTGGAGAAGAGTGGTCCCTGGGCAGAGAAGATCGAGGGCCTCCTGGAAGACATGGAAGGTGGGTTCACATTCCTGAGGAGTGTGCAAAGAGGCAAAATGACGTTCCAGTCAGACAGACCTGGTCCGGTAGAAATTACAGGACGATGACTTCCATTCTTGCTGGTCTGTGGCTTCTAACCTATTCTCCTCCTATAAGCCTAAACGCTGAAATGGAAGCTAAGTGGGGATCCATGCACAGAGTGAGGAGGATGGTTCAGCTCATGAACTCTCTCCCTTTGGAGCTTCCCAAGGACCAGTACTATGTCCTGGAAATACAGTCAGGTGTCACTTAATGATGGGGACACATTCTGAGAAATGCTTCATTAGGCAATTTCATTGTTGTACATACCATAGATTGTAATTACACAAACGTGGATGGTCTAGTCTACTCCACACCTAGGCTACATGGTATGGCCCAATGCCCCTGGGCTGCATACTGGTACAGCATTCCTTTGCTGGGTACTGTAGGTTATTGTAACACAGTGCTAAGTATTCATGTATCTAAACATAGAAAAGGTAATGGTTGCACCACGATGCTAAGCTGAAAAATAGGAATTTTTTGGCTGGGCGCCGTGGCTCTTGCCTGTAATCCCAGTACTTTAGGATGCCAATGCAGGTGGATCACGAGGTCAGGAGTTTGAGACCAGCCTGGCCAACATGATGAAACTCCGTCTCTACAAAAAACACAAAAATTAGCTTAGTCTGGTGTTGGGCACCTGTAATCCCAACTACTCAGGAAGCTGAGGCAGGAGAATTGTTTGAACCCAGGAGGCAGAGGTTGCAGTGAGCTGAGATCATGCCCCTGCACTCCAGCCTCCAGCCTGGGCGACAGGATGAGACTCAACCTCAAACAAAAAAAAAAAAAAAGGAAATTTTCAGCTTCATTATAATCTTATGGGACCACCAGTGTATATGTGGTCTGTCGTTGACTGAAATGCCTTTATGCAGTGCCTGACTGGGGCTATTATAAATACTGTAGACTGGGAGTAAATTTGAGTCAAAGCAAAGTAGTTTCCTCCACTCTTTTACCAAGGAAAATGACTTCTACAACACTCCACATGTGCCTTTTTCTGGTTGGTTTTTTTGAGACGGAGTTTTGCTTTTGTTGCCCAGGCTGGAGTGCAATGGTGCAATCTCGGCTCACTGCAACCTCCGCCTCACAGGTTTGAGTGATTCTCCTGCCTCAGCCTCCTGAGTAGCTGGGATTACAGGCATATGCCACCAAGCCCGGCTAATTTTGTATTTTTAGTAGAGATGGGGTTTCTCCATGTTGATCAGGCTGGTCTTGAACTCCCGACCTCAGGTGATCCACCTGCCTTGGCCTCCCAAAGTGCTGGGATTACAGGAGTCCGGCCTGTTTTTGTTTTTTTTGAGACAGGCTCTCACTCTGTTGCCCAGGCTGGATTGCAGTGGCATGATCACAGCTCACTGCAGCCTTGACTTCCCAGGCTCAAGCCATCCTCCCACCTCAGCCTCCCTAGTAGCTGAGAATATAGGCATGTGTCATCACACATTGTTGCTGTTGTTTTGAGGCAGGGTCTCACTCTGCTACCCAGCCTGGAGTGCAGTGGCACGATCTTGACTCACCACAATCTCCAGCTTCCTGCAACCTCCACCTCCCAGGCTCAAGCGATTCTCATGCCTCAGTCTCCTGAGTATCTGGGATTACAGGCATGCACCACTACAACCCAGCTAATTTTTGTATTTATAGTAGAGACAGGGTTTCGCCATGTTGGCCAGGCTGGTCTTGAACTCCTGACCTTATGATTCGCCTGCATCGGCTTCCCAAAGTGCTGGGATTACAGGCGTGAGCCACCGTGCCTGGCCACGTATGTTTTTAAAGAATCCCAAGTTTTAAGACATAGAACCTGTTCCCAACTTAGGTGATGCCTGGGTGGAACAGAGAGGGGACATCTCAACTTCCGGGGTTGGGGGTGGGGTGATATCAGCTGCCCCTGGAGGGAGGTAAGCCTCTGCTCATCCCTACTTTCAAGGGTAGAAGAGTAAAAAGTTAAAATTACCTCTGTGTTACTGTTAGACTGTGGCTGTGAGATCCTCCGTGGCTCTCATGGAGCTGCTTCCTGCTGGCTGGCATGTCCCAAGAGCGAGATGGAAGGAAGCAGAGCAGCCGTTGCTGCTTCTCCTTCTTCTGCTTCCGTTTCCGAGGTGGCTGTCGGGCGGGGCTGGTGTCACCGCCCTTCCTTCACCCCAGGGTGCCACAAAGCAGTCATCCTGCTGTGCTCGCCACAGAGAGGACCCCAGCTCTGCAGCTCCTGGCAGAGCAAGACCCAGTGACAACTCTGTTTCTTAGCAGCTCAGACTTGGTGCCTGAAGGAATCACACAGTTTTTGTTGTTGTTGTTGTTGTTTTGTTTTGTTTTTTACTTGAGACAGAGTCTAGCTTTGTCGCCCAGGTGGGACTGCAGCCTCCACCTCCAGGGCTCAAGGGATCCTCCCATCTCAGCCTCCTAAGCAACTGGCATTACAGGTGGGCGCCACCAGGCCCAGTTAATTTTTGTATTTTTAGTAAAGACAGGTTTTGCCATGTTGGCCAGGCTGCACACATGTTCTGTAAAAAGCTGCCTACAGGCCAGGCACAGTGGCCTGTAATCCCAGCACTTTAGGAGGCCAAGATGGGTGGATCACCTGAGATCAGGAGTTTGAGACCAGCCTGGCCAAAATGGCAAAACCGTCTCTACCAAAAATACAAAAATTAGCTGGGTGTGGTGGAATGCACCTGTAGTCCCAGCTATGGGGGAGGCTGAGGCAGTAGAATTGCTTGAACCCGGGAGGTGGAGGTTGCAGTAAGCCAAGATCATGCCACTGCACTCCAGCCTGGGTGACAGAGTGAGACTCCATCTCAAAAAAAAAAAAAAAAAAAAAAAGCTGCCTACATATGATGAAAACACTCTTTAAAAAGGTATATATGTTGCAGATCAACCTTTAAAATTGTGTTAATGTGATGATTAAAGTTACTGTTCAATTTTTTTGAATGGTGTCACTGTGTTTTTCCCAGTAAAAATGACCTCTCTAGAAAATGTAATTTTTTAAAAAATTGGCTAGTGGACAGGTGCAGTGGCTCATCCCTGTAATCCCAGTACTTTGGGAGGCCAAGGCAGGAGGATTGCTCAAGCTCAGGAGTTTGACCAACTTGACCAACATGTTGAAACCATGTCTCTACAAAAAATAATAAATTAGCCGGGCGTGGTGGCTCACGCCTGTAATCCCAGCACTTTGTGAGGCTAACGCAGGTGGATCACGAGGTCAAGAGATCGAGACCATCCTGGTCAACATGGTGAAACCACATCTCTACTAAAAATACAAAAAATTAGCTGAGTATGGTGGCATGTGCCTATAATCTCAGCTACTTAGGAGGCTGAGGCAGGAGAATTGCCTGAAACCAGGAGACGGAGGTTGCGGTGAGCCGAGATCGCACCATTGCACTCCAGCCTGGGTAACCAGAGTGAAGCTCCGTCTCAAAATAATAATAATAATAAATTAAGCATGGTAATGTGCACCTGTAGTTCCAGGTACTTGGGAGGTTGAGGCCCATGAATTGTATGAGCCTGGGAGGCAGAGGCTGCAGTGAGCTGAGATTGCACCACTGCACTCCAGCCTGGAAGACAGAGTGAGTCTCTCTCTCTCTCTCTCTTTTTTAATTGAGATGGAGTCTCGTACTGTCACCTAGGCTGAAGTGCAGTGGCACAATCTTGGATCGCTGCAACATCTGCCTCCCGAGTTCAAGCAATTCTCCCACTTCAGCCTCCTGAGCTGGGATTACAGGTGCGTGCTACCATGCCTGGCTAATTTTTGTGTTTTTAGTAGAGACACGGTCTTGCCATGTTGGCCAGACTGGTCTCGAACTCCTGATCTCAAGTGATCTGGCCACCTTGGCCTCCCAAAGTGCTGGGATTACAGGTGTGAACTATCTACCCAGTTGAGACTCTATCTCAAAAAAGAAAGAGAAAGAGAGAAGGAGAGAAGGAAAGAGAACGAAGAAAGAGAGAGAGTGAGCAAAAGAAAGAAAAAAACACAAAAAATTGACTAGTCACAAACCACTGGTTTGGTAGCTATTGAATTTGGATCTACAGTCACAGTGATTTAGCTCTTATAACCAGTAACCTTTCTGCTGTTTTCTGCTTTCCCATGCATTATTTCATTAAAATGTCAAGACCCAAGGTGGGCGTTATGACTCTCCCACTTTACAAGTAAAGAAGCAGGCTTGGACACGGTGAATCATTGACTCATGATCTTGCTGTGTTTTATAATTCATCTCTTTCTCTTTTACCATGTCATACTCCTCACAGAGAAAGTGCCTTGTAAATAGCAAACACCAGATTGTTGTTGTTGCTGTTGTTAAGCTATTATATTTTAGCAGGAAGAAGCCATTAGGAAACATCAGAAACCCAAACCGTGTTATGTGCACCACTGTGTGATGGTATTGATGTTTCTCTTGGTTTGCTCTGTTCAGTGCCTGTGGTTGGAGATGATCATCCCTTTTCAAGGCTAGGGGGTGTGTGAGGAGGAGACACAAGCAGATAGAGGGCTCATGGGGGGGTGGGAATTATCCCAGGGAAGTCTCAGAGCAATAAAGAACTGTATGGTGGAGGGCTTGTCATTCTTATCCACACTGCAGGGGGATCTGCTTATGCTGGGACTAAGTCCTGTCCAGGCTCAGCTGCTGAGTCAGCAGGAATCCTGAAAGGACCCGATTTGCAGGAGGATTGGGGCCAGATGAAGATAAGGACAGCAGGCCAAGGATGAGCGGGTGCTGGGGATGGGGGAGCCAGGGTGCTGCTCTGACCTGGTTCCCCAAGCAGCGCCAGGGCTATGGAGAAGGGGACGGAACAGAAGCTGTAGAAGCATGAGTCCAAGTGGCTTGGAGGCATCATGCCAGGCTGCCTGGGTGACCTATGTCCTGGGTAACACAGAGAGGGAAGGGACACTCCCCTTGGCCTCTAGGAGCCTGGGGCCACAGGGCCAGGCTGCAGGTAGCTGTGTGGCACTGACTGCAGAAGCTTAGACAGGCACCACCGTCCAGGGGCTGGCCAGCAGTCAGGGGTGGATCTGTGGGCACTGCAGGGAAGCACAGGCTCCCCCGGACATCAAGGAACTTTGCCTGAGGGCCAAAGTCCTGTGTTCACTGGGAAATTGTGATTACTTTGTGACCCCAGTTCTGCCCAGAGGCCCTTGAAGCCAGAGTTTCTCTGTACACCGCCCACCCTGAGCCCTTCAGCTCAACCAGCAGGGACGCTTTTCATTAGACACCCCGATGTAGGGAGGCTCACAGGGGCTACGGCCTGGGAGGCTGCGCAGAGCAAAGTAACAGTGTGGCTTTGATTTGGGTCCACCTGGGATCACACTCGGCCTCCACAGCTTACTTGCTGTGAAGCTCAATGTGAATTTCTCTGCACCTCAGTTTCCTTCTCTATAAAATGTGGTTGATGAGGATAATCATGGTTCCTAATTTGAAGGACTATTGAAAGGATTAAATAAGTGAAGCCATGTCATGTACTTAGCCCGAAGCCTGGCGTCTAGTCCCGGGCTAGTTCTATTAGAGAAGGACAGGAGCACCTCAGACGTAGCGGTGTGTCTGGAGAAAGTAACGCTGGCACATGCGCAAGCCCCAGCACCTTTGTGTGTCTGTGACTGCAGCTTCCAGACCTGGAATAAGGAAAGGGGCTATGCTGGGCTCACTGATACCAGGAGAGACAAAGGTCTTTTTTTTTTTTTTTTTAATTTTTTTTAAAATTTTAATTTTTTTTTTCCCTAACCCTAACCCTAACCCTAACCCTAACCCTAACCCTAACCCTAACCCTAACCCTAACCCGAGACAAAGGTCTTAGCCCCACCGCTACTGTCCTAAGAGTGTGAGTTTAGAAATATATTTCTGGGCCAGGCACAGTGGCTCATACCTGTAATCCCAGAACTTTGGGATTTACCTGGGGTCAGGAGTTCAAGACCAGCCTGACCAACATGGAGAAACCCCGTCTCTACTGAAAATACAGAATTAGCCAGGTGTGGTGGCACATGCCTGTAATCCCAGCTACTCAGGAGGCTGAGGCAGGCGAATCGCTTGAACCTGGAAAGTGGAAGTTGCAGTGAGCTGAGATAGCACCACTGCACTCCAGCCTGGGCAACAAGTACAAAACTCTGTTTCAAAAAAAAAAAAATTTTGATTCTAATACAGGTGGTCAGGCATGAAGGGGCACTGCATGCCCATTGCACTCACCAAAAAACAGTTTACAAGCCAGGATGCTTCTTATGAGGTTTCTTATGGGATCTGTTTGACCTAAGCACTGGGGTGGTTTTCTGTGCAGCACAGCTGAGGGAGGGCAGGGGCCAGGGACTGAAGGAGTCAACTGCCGGGACACCGTCCAAATGGGTTGCTTGAAGACCATGGAAAGTTGGGTGTTTTTTAAGGGATTGTTTATCATGCAGTAAAGCTTTGTGGTCACTTTTCTGCTGTCTGCATATAGGTCTAAAGGAGGAGAGTGCTAGAACAAGAGTTTTATTCTCCTGGAAAGTGCTAAGAAACATGGATGGAGTCTCTTGTCCTGCCCTCTTTCCCTGGGCTCCACAACAGCCCCACCTTTCTATCTTGTGGTGACCTCCTCTTGCTGTGGTCTCTCACTTTCTCAACTTGCAGTAAGCAAGTTAATAACTTTTTTCCAAGGACTGCCTGTTTTAAAAATCAAATTTTAAGCTGGGCACAGTGGCGCATGTCTGTAATCCCAGCTACTCAGGAGGCTGAGGCAGGAGAATTGCCTGAACCCAGGAGGCGGAGGTTGTGGTGAGCCAAGATTGCGCCATTGCACTCCAGCCTGGGTAACAAGAGCGAAACTCCGTCTCAAAAAAAAAAAAAAAATCAAATTGTATTTCTTTCTATTTGCAAGTCATCCATACACAATTCAAAAGGTAAAAAAGAGTAGAGCATCAAAGACATTCTCCCGTCACCCCAGTGCCCCAGCCATGCGGGACCTTTCCTGGGGGATAGCCCATACCATTGGCTTCTTGATATTTTTCCAGAGATATTCTATGCACATATAAGCAACTAGGGTGCATTGGGGTTTTGTTCATGGTTTTCCTTTTTTTTCCCCTCAATGATCACATACTTTGAGGAATGCAATCTCTTGTATAAATCTCTCGGTCAGAAGTTCTCAGTCATGAGCTG